ACGAAAAGATGTTTGAGGGAGCTACAGCGGACAACATAGCCGAGACTGAGGAAATCATGATATATGTTGTTGTGTAGGCTTCCTTGCCAAAGGCTACTACTGCTGGACCTAGTGAAGCTAGTCCTTCTGGGGGTCACTCCGAGCACTGAAGCCTAGACAGATGGAGCGACCAATTAGCTAGGATCCCCTCTTTACCTCCCTCTTTCTCTTTCTTTATTTTACCTTTCGAATTCTGTGTTAATTGCATTTGAGGACAAAGTGCTTTTATTTGTGGTAGGGTGAGGCCCACCTTTGTGTGCTATTTGATGTTCGTATGTTGTGTATACTTGGGGTTTGTGCTTAAATTATGTTAAATACTGCTTCTTATGAATGTTTGAGCTTATGGCTCGTTTTGTTTTAAATTGCAAAATGATTTTTGACCCGTCCAAAAAATTTTGCCACCTCTTGTTTGTTGAATGTGGCTATTCTTTTGCAAAATTTAAGTCTCAATTTTGATCAATATCGATGACTTGAATAGTGCTTAAAATTGAACGAACAAGAATGTACGGCTATGATGAGGCCAAATGAAGTTGCATAGACAATATGTAAACTCCTTGCATCTCGCTGTGATTAGCCATTTATCGAATTGAGCCTCTTGTAATGATCATTGCAGACTAGCGAATGTGCGGCGTCTTGTTTTACTGCAGTGTCAATGCCTAGTGTGATGAGCTTACTTTGAACCATGCATGATAGATCCTAGAATTTGCCCCGTTGGTCTGGTCAACTAAATGATGCTATCTCTTGATATGATCTTAGGCAACTTTCTAAAAGTGTGAGCTAATTTGACATATATCTCTTTTGTGACCTACCCTGTGAGCGTATGATTATCTTTTGAACACCCCTTGAGCCTTACCTTTCTGTGGAAGAAACTTGATGAAAAATAGACCTTTCTTAATTCACTACCTATAATCCTCTTGAATTGTGGTTAATTGAATAGACAACTTAGGCAAAAAGCCTAAGTTGGGGGTGTGGTTAAAAGATAAGGGCAAGTCAAGAAGTGCAACGAAAGTCTCCGTTAACCCATGGGGTTGAGGAAAATGGAACCCCTCCATATATAAAAAAAAAAAGAAAGAGAAAAAGAAAAGAAAAGAATGAAAAAGAAAGTTGCAGAATAAAGTGCAAAAGAAATGGGGTTCCCAAACAATCCTTGGAAAGTGAATAATAGGACGACTTATGAGCACTAAAGAAAATGATGAAGGAAAAGGAAAGGAGGTGTTGTGAGCACCACATTTCATGAGGATAAAAGTCACTAAGCCTAAATGACCATACCTTTGCACTCAGCCCCATTACAAGTCTTGAAAAGACCTTTTTGATCATGAGTGAGATAAAACAAATGTTGATTGGAAAATACGGGAAAACCTATGGGTGAAAGCATTCATTGTGTTCATCTTTGTGAGTTTGAGTGTTACATCTGATTTCAAAGATTTAAACTGCAAACCATTGTGTAAATATGGAACCATTCCTTGTGTGAGGGCATTTGAACACTTTGGTTGAGCTTGAACTTGCATTTGAAGCAAATATTGTGAGCATGAGATTCTTTGATATTGGTGAGTCACAACTTGAATCTTTGAGTGCACATTTGATCTTTACATAAGTAAATTGAGTCTTGTTGTGTGCATTCATGATTGACTCTTGTGCAACACTATTCGAGACACCTTTTTTGAACGACTGGACTTGAGTTTGCTTGAGGACAAGCAAAAGTTTAAGTTGGGGGTGTTGATGAGTCCACAAATTGGACTCATTTAGGGCTATATTTTAATAGAAATTGTGTCCTCAAATGCATGTTTTATCCCGATATCTGATGAAAACGTTTAAGTTTCAGGTATTTGAAGTTTGAAGGAAAGCATGGACACTACGTCACAAAAAGGAATGAAAAGACTGAAAGGAACGAAGAAATGAAGGCCTGAGGATCGCCGAGTCCACTTGGTGAGTCGCCGAAGGGTTTTACTTCGCCTTTTGTTCCAGTGTGCTGAGCCCTGAAGGAAAGGATCAAGTCGGCGGAAAAAAGGAGTAGTCGACGCACTACCGAGAAGTTCCGCTAAGCAATACCATGTCGCTCAATGACCCAAAGCACGACGATGCTGAAGGATGGTGCAAGACGACGATGAACTACACCAAAAGGGGAATCATCGAGTTGATCAGTGATTTCGACTAACGACGCCGAATGATCCGCTGCAGCACAAATCAGTGAAAACTATAAATACTAGTTAGAGTTGTAGTTGTAAGTGTGGAACAATTATTATAATTTCCATATAGAATAGTACTTTTTGATACTTTTGCTCTAAGTTTGAGAGGGTTTTGAACACTTGAAAATCCAAAGGGTTTCATCTCCAAGGATTTGGACTTGGGTCTCTTGGATTCTTCATTCTTGGCCTATAACAAGACTTAAATCTTCGTACCCATTTGAATGCAAGCTCATTTAGGTATAAATTTCTATTCTCTTGATGTGTGGCTAAAAATCCCAATTCTTGGAGTATGATTTTGTGAATATGGGTTAGATTAGTTGTTGGGTCTTTCTTGTTGATGGTCTATTTGTAGTTTAAATGTGATTTCATTTAGTGGTTGTGGATAAACTTAATGAGGTTGTAGTTGCAAATATAATCTCATATATGTGTCTTCGGCTTCCTCGAGAGAGATGTCGTAAAACTAAGACCACTAAATTAATGGCCAGTGCGAGTGGGTCGACATGAGGTTTAGCTCGAGAGAGTGAACCCTAGTCCCATGTCCACACACTCAGCTCGAGAGAGTGAGTGGGTTAAGGCGGAGGTTGTTCTTCATGCGGCAAGTGGGTGTCCGAGAGGAACTCGCTTGAAACGGGGTAAGTTGCTTGAGAGGGAGCTTATCCCCTTTAAAGTCTAGCCTAGTCATAATTACTCTACGAGTTCTTTATCAAAAGCATGTACCCAATAATTTAGTCTATCCCGTATTCCACTCACATCCCAAGAATCCCCCTCTCATTATTTAGAAATCCCTGTTTATTTTGTTGTTTTTACTTATTAGTGAAAAAAACCCCATTGTTGATTGACACTATTGTGTCCCCCTTTAATTTACAATGTTTTTAATCATTAATGTCTTTAGCTACGACTAATTAAAACTAAATTTTATTTTTCTATTAATTCTCAAAGCCACTCTCTTCGGTTACTAAACTATTGTACGATCGTAGACACTTGCATCAAAAGTTGTGTCTTGATTATGCAAACATTAATAGGTTTTAAGTATTATTTTATATATTCCGTGATATTAAATTTTCGCTTGAAGCGCGGATAATTTTACTAGTTATTGAAATAAATTGAAATCTATTGAAAGTGATTTCAATCGACTGAGAGACATCAATCTTTTGGTGCAGGCCCATTTTTTTTAAAAGACTAACAGTGGTATCCAGAGCTTTATTGAATTTACGGGATCTTTGAAATCTTCCAAAGAACTACCATACTACTTTTAACCCGCAAGGACTATTTTCCAATCTTTTTAATGCATCAAGGCTATCCATTTTAACCCGTCAGGGCTATTATGTTCAACCCGTACTTATTTTTTTCAACGCACGGGCATTTCTAATCCAATTTTTAACCAAAAATAATGGCAAACAACAACCTCTCTTTGAATGCCCCAAAAAATTTTACAGGCGAAAACTATCAAATTTCGTCTGTGAGAATAAAACCATATTTTGAAACCTGTGTGATATGTGATGCTGTGAAGGAAGAAAAATCTTTACAACAATATTTTGCAAATCCTACAAAAGTTCAGATTAAAGACTTTCAAATAAATTTCTACACAAGACTATGTCATGGAAGGTGTCTTTGAAGCACAAAATCAAAAGAAGAAGAAGAAAAATAAAGAAATTTTGCAAGTTCAAGAATAATGAAAAGAATACGGAATCAACTACCAATGCAAAAATTGAGGAGTATTTTTTCAATTGCAGTAACTAAAGCAAAGGAGGAGTGTTTAGTTTAAGATGAATTTGAATTTTGAATTTTTCTTAGGTTTTTTGAATTGTTGAGATATTTTAGGTTGTTTTAAATTTAAAATTATGCAGATTATGTTTTTTGTTCTCTATATAAAGCCCCTCAATGCATAAGAAAATTATTGAAATAAATTGAAAGCTATTGAAAGTCATTTCAATCTTTTTGTGCTGCCCTTTTATAAAAAAAAAGAAAAGACACCAACATGTCCATCTTTTGATCTTCCTATTGATTCTGAAGTTCACATCCTTATAAGTAATGAATCAACTCTTTTCATTGTTAATCTCTTGACTTGATGCCTCCTGATACATCCTGAATTGCATTATGATAAATTTATTAGAGTGTTCGTCGATAGAAGAAAAAAGACTTTATCATCAACAAAGCATAAGTGATTCACTTGAGGTCCATTTTTGCTCATGGTAAAACCTTTGAAATCCACTCTGTTATTCAGATGATTGAGAGCTTTGGAGAGGTCCTCAACACCAATAATAAATAAAGCAGGAGACAAAGGATCATCCTGTTTGAGACCTCTAGAAGAACTAAGGAAACCATGTCTTGACCCATTAACAATTACAGAATACCAATTGTTTGAAATGATTCTATATATGAGTTCTATAAAACGTTCTCTGAAGCCAAGCTTTCTGAGGACAGACATAAGTAAAATCTAAGAAACTATATCGTAAGCCTTTGACATATCTAATTTCATAACCAAGTTCCCGCCAACATTACCCCTTCTTATGTCATGGACAATTTCTTGCGCCAAAAGAATGTTTTCAGTAATTAGCCTTCCTTTGATAAAGCGTGATTGGTTTTTATAAATAAGTTTAGGAAGGACATGGCCAAGTTTAAAGGAAAGAATTTTCCAGAGGATTTTGTTGGTAAAATTACTCAAGCTTATATGCCTGAGTTATGGAAAATGATTAGGAGTCTTTACTTTTGGAACTAAAACCAAGCACGAGTGGGAAAAGAACCTAGTTAAATTAGCTCCAGTGAAAAAAGCTCTCACATATTTAGTAATGTCTTGCTCAACAGTGTTCCAAGCAAACTGAAAAAGCATACTTTATATTCGTCTGGACCTACAGAACTATTAGGATCCATGGAGAAAACAGCAGCCTTAACCTCCTCCTCGGTAGGAATAGCTTCCAGAAAGTCATTATCAATATCAGTAACCAAAGTTTATAAATATCTCAAGAAGGAATCACTGGAAGCTCCGGTATCATTTGGGTGAGTGAAAATATTGCTGAAGTAATCAATTGCTGCTTGGGATATTTGGTCAGTATTGTCTAACCATCTGCCAGTAGAGTCCTTAATCCTAAGGATTTGAGCATTTCTTCTTCTCCCTTTGGAGTTAGTTTCACCTTTGTCTGCCCACTTGACTCTAGCTTTTTGCCTCAGAATGGAATCTTGAAGCTTCAGCCATTTAATGTAATCAGTGTGAGATTTGTGAAAAAGGATTCTATTGTGATCGGGGTTATTCATTTCATATTGCTTCTCCATTAACTTGTTATGTTCCTTCTTTTGTTTGACAATATCATAAACGTCTCCAATGCATTCTTTGGACCATTTGCTAAGAGCTTTAGAAAGGTTTTTGAGTTTATTTTGTAATCTCCACATTGGGTTTCCCGTGATCTCATTGTCCCAAACTTCCTTGACCACATCTACAAAACCCTCTTGTTCCTTAAAGCAATAAAATATCATAATCAGAACTGGTCTTAGGGAGATGATGAATTCAGGTAAGGGGAAATTTGGAGGTACAGGCATCATTAATAATAACTCTGTCAAGTCTCATACTGATTCTCCACCTCATTCTCCTACCATTACAACAAGTGTAAGCACCTCCAGTGAATTGAGTGACCATAAGACCACAATCATCCATACAACTTATGAAGTCCAAGATCTTGGAAAAAGTATGAGGCACTCCACCCTTCTTCTCATCAGCATTCAAAATAGTATTGAAATCTCCGAACATTGCGCAAGGACCATTAGCCATACCACAAACTATCTGAAGTTGTCTGTTGCATTTTGGTGTGTTGCATTTCGGTCCCCATTTCTTCATCCTCAAGTATGCTAGTCTTCACCTCTTCATGCACCTTTCCTTTCTCTATGTTGTTCCTGGTCCTTTGTTCGTTTGTCCTCCAGTTAGATTTTTTTTGTTATCAATATTGTGCTTCTGGGGTTCTCTTTGTTTGGCTTTGTGCTTTTGGTGTTGGTTTGTCTTATCCCCTCTAGGCTTAGAAATCTCAGTCTTTGAACTTTTTCAATTCCAGGTCTATCGAAAATCAGTAGCAGTATCGAGATATAAAGGGTTGCCTACAGGGGATTCAATTTGTCTCATATAATACCATGTATGACAGTGGTATGGTAAACCTGGTAATTAGACCCATACCGGAACAATAGGAAAATCTTCCTCTGGTCTATAATCGGGGGTCCATTTTTGAAGCCACATAACCGTACCATCTATTTCAATTGACCTTTTGAACCATATCATTTTACAATCATCATCATTTGTGACATCTATAAAGACCGTACAAAAATCATACGCACCTATTTTGACGTCTCCTTTGAGAGATATCTTTTAAGCGAAGATTGAGAGAATGCGTTCTATGTTACGCCTTGTTCAAACAAACTTGCCAATAATCGTGTATCGGCACTCCTCAGCCATCACCCCATAGTAGTTACTCAATTTGAAGATTACAGTAGGCATACCATTGTGAGTTGATTCGGGCTTTGACATTTGGGTCTCCATTATACATCATGCTCTATGACCTATGTATTGCGTCTTGACTATCAAAGTGTGTGGATACTGATGCCAAATATTTGTGCCTAAAAAGTAACTTTCAAGAAATTTTGGAGCCATTCAACTTATTCAGTAGCTTCATCTAGAGCGATAAACTCATATTCTATTATAGAGCGAGCGGTACACATCTATTTGGAAGATTCCCAAAAAATAGCTCCTCCACTAAGAGTAAATACATATCCACTCGTGGATTTTTCTTTATTTTACCGGTGATCCAATTTGCACCACTTTATCCTTTCAATACTGTTGGATATTTGTTATAATGCAACGCATAATTTTGATTATGTTTTCAATACCCTAAAATCTTTTCATTTGCATCCAATGAGTTTGATTAGGATTACTAATGAACCGACTCAGTTTACTAATAGCACATGCCATATCTGATCGCGTACACTTCATGATATACATCATACTTCCCAATACTCTAGCATAATTCAATTCTGAGTCACTTTCACCTTCATTCTTTTAAAGTGCAAAGCTCACATTTGTTGGAATCTTGGAAGTACTAAACTCCAAATACTTCAACTTGTCAAGTACATTTTCAATGTAATGAGACTATGATAATGCTAAACATTGTGGAGTTTTAACAATTCTTATACCTAAGATCACATCAGCAACTCCAAGATCTTTCAAAATTTCTTTCTAGAATATGTTTAGAAGTATTTTTGGCATAAGTGTCTCTTCTGATGATCAACATGCCATCAACATACAAACAAACAAACAATGACCTTGTGATTTGGAGTATTTTTAATATAAATACGTTTATCACTTCCATCATTCTTAAAACCATTTGCCAACATGGTTTGGTCAAATTTCACGTATCATTGTTTGGGTGCTTGTTTAGTCCATAAAGTGACTTATCAAGTTTGCACCCAGCAACCATAAAACCCTCGAATTGTTCCATGTAAATTTCTTTCTCCAATTCTCCATTTCATAAGTTGTTTTCACATCCATTTAATGAATTTGAAGGTTATATACTGCAGCAAGGGAGATCAATCAGCCTCCAAGTGTGATTACTCAAGATTGAATCAATCTCACTATTCACACCCTCTTTCCCAAAGATGTAGTTCGCAGAAGACATAACTTCATTAAATATATGAGACTTATTTTCAAGAAGAAATGTTGCAAAATCAAATTTGAAGGAAGTAGATGTCCTTTTACATTTACTATACCTCTAAATTTATTTATCAAGTACAATCTCCTTTGGTTCTTTCCAAGGTCTTTTTTTACTCTTCACTAGACTACTCAAGTCTAATTTTACAGTTCACATTCTTAGGTCCTATATTGATCCTTTTGGCATAGCAACTTGGAATTTGGCTAGACACCCCAACACTTTGAAATATTTCAAGTTGGACTTCCTTCTTTTTCATTTCTCATATGAAATAGATTGTCCTGAACAAAGAAAAAACTTTTTATTGCTTTCTTTCTGTACAAACAACACTTTTTGTTGTTCCATTTTGCTATAAGTTAGCTTCTCCACACAAGTTTAGTGGTAAAACTGAACTTATAAGTAATGCATCCATCATTTCCTTCAAAGTTCATTTTTTTATCATGCAATTCCATTAGATTAAAGTTAATATGATAGTAGTTTGATAGATAATTCCACTTCCAAACATATTGCGTTAAAAGGAGATTTATACTCTCCATCCCTATAACCTCTTATCTTTTTCCCAACTGATTTTCAACTTCAATTTTGTATTGCCTAGACATTTCTATTACCTCGTCCTTACCATTCAATCAATAGACATAATCGTATCTAATGCAATTGTCAATAAAAGTAATGAGATACTTCTTTACCACCACGAGATGTTGTTGATTTCATTTCACAAATGTCCGTATAAATCAACTCTAAGGAATTAGAATTACTTTCAACAGATTTATAAGAATGATTTACATACTCAGATTCAGCACAAATTTGACATTTTTATTTATTGCACTCAAAGTTAGACAAAACATCTAAGTTTATCAGTTTTCCTTACAATATTTTGTAATTGACATGTCCTAAGCGCTCCTGTCACAAACAGTTTGACTCAAGCAAGTAAGAACAAATAAAAATGTTGAGTTTGAAAATCCCTCTGTGAGGTAGTTTTTTTCTCACAAATATTTTGTTCTAGTTAGTACAGTTTTGTCTGATACAAACATTGTTTAGAGTCAGCACATTGTCAAATTTCCTTTCCTTTTTAGAAGGACCTTTCCATAAATATTAATTTTGTTGTTATAGAATTATCCATAAACATAGTTTCGTGGGTCCAATAAGGGAAATATGACCCAAATATTTCTTTTACAACACAAACATGACAAATGACTTTCCACAAATATTCATGTGTATAATCATAGTTGTATTTTAATGTTACAACCCAGACTGTCGTAATTGGCACCCACACAAACCCTCCAGTGGGAGAACCATTACTACGACCCAAAGTAACAAATTTTATGAAAACCAAGGCATTAAGTTACGGAAGCAAGTTAATTAACTAAACAAATGCAGAATTAAATACCTAGAACCTGAAAGTCAATGTACCAAAACTCTAACAAGATTCATAAGTCTAGAAGAGAAAACCATCTAAAGAATTAGTCTAAGTCAGTATATGATGGACTAGACAAAAAGAAACCTCAAGGCGGCCCGGAAGAACAGGCTCACCCTTGAATTCGAATCGGCGATCACTGATCTTCTGAATGAGGTCTGTCAATAGTGTTGTTACGTGTCTCAGGATCTGCTTTGAATGGGTCAAAGACTTCAGCTGATTATTAGGAGATTAGTTTTCTTTTAGTCATTATCCTATTAACTAGTTATAGTTGTTCCTATTTTATAGGCATGTTAGCAGTCCATGTTCTGTGTTAGTTGTACTGCCCCTCTACTTATTTAATCAGCTTGAAGTTCAATAAAATTTATTCTTCAGATTTCAATTCATCTTGCTGTTTCAGTTAAATTAATAACATTAGTATCAGAGCCCTACTTCTTAAGGGACTTGTGTGAGATTTGAGAGGTTCTTTTCTGAGTGTTTATCCATAAAATATTCTCTGCAAAACACCATTAAAACAATGGAGAATGCAGGCTCTTTTTCTGCTATGGCTCCACCAGTTTTCGATGGAGAAAACTATCAAGCCTGGGCAGTAAAAATGCAAGTTTATTTGGAGGCTAGTGATTTGTGGGAGGCTGTCGAGGAAGACTACGAAGTGCATCCTCTGCTAGGGAATCCAACTATGGCTCAGATTAGATCCCACAAGGAAAAGAAGACAGGAAAATCCAAAGCTAAATCTTGTTTCTTTGCTGCAGTTTCTGCCACCATTTTCAGTAGAATAATGACATGTAACTCAGCCAAAGCAATTTGGGATTTCCTCAAGAAAGAGTACGAGGGAGATGAAAGAATTAGAGGAATGAAAGTACTGAACTTGGTTAGAGAATTCGAGATGCAGCGTATGTAGCAATCAGAAACCATTAAGGAATATTCTGATAAGTTGCTTGGGATTGCCAATAAGGTAAGGATACTTGGAAATGAACTTACTGATAATAGAATAGTTCAAAAAATACTTGTAACTTTACCTGAGAGATATGAGGCAACTATTGCTTCATTGGAAAATACTAAAGATCTGTCTAAGCTTAGCTTGGCAGAGTTATTGAGTGCACTGCAGGCACAAGAACAACGAAGAATGATGAGGCATGAGGGATCCATTGAGGGAGCCTTGCAAGCCAAGTTGTAGTTCGGTTCAAGTGCCAGGGGAAACAAACGAAAAGGAAAGAAAGGGAATCATGAAAACTACGAGGCAACAACAACGAGAAATGGTGTTACTGCAACTAGCAACAACAGAGAAGGAAAATATCCTCCCTGCCAACATTGTGGGAGGAAAAATCATCCACACTTCAAGTGTTGGAGAAAACCTGAAATGAAATGCAGAAAGTGTCACAAGCTCGGTCATGCTGAGATTATCTGCAAAGAGAAGAGATTACAACAACCAAATGATGCACAGATTGCGGACCAACAAGAAGATACGCAACTATTTGTGGCCACCTGTTTCGCAAGCAAGAATTCAAGTGAAAGTTGGCTTGTTGATAGTGGTTGTACGAACCACATGACCAGTGATGAAAAGCTTTTCAGAGAACTTGATAGATCAGTTAAATCAAGAGTCAGGACCGGAAATGGAGAATACCTCCCAGCGAAAGGAAAGGGGACTGTAGCAATTGAAAGTTACAA